AATTCCAAGTAATCAAGATCATTCGGTTCAATTTCTACGTTATATATGTTTTTATCTCTGTTAAGCTCTACTTTCCATTTATGCTCGCAATACACTGCTGCAATCCATGCACACACAATCGCCATGCTTGCATTCATTTATACTCATACCCACTCTGCATTATATACATTTAAAGGAGTGCTCATATGCATATCGATCTCATGCATCCTTGCTATGCCATTTCATACTAATTGTGCATTACCAATCATAACTCAGAATTACACACTCTACAAAACACTATATTTAATAAACTCAATCGTTACTTCACTAATTGCTGTAGCATCTATTTACTTCATCACTCCTACCACTCTATCGCTCATACTGCCAATTCATTCAAGTCTGTTGCACTCATGTACCTCCGGATATACGTCGCCACAAAATCATTCCCTGTTTCAATGGCCACCATTACCACTGCCATCGCCATAATCAAGTAGTTCAGCAAACACTTCACCAGGCATTCTCCTCTTCTTTTCTGCTTCTTTCTATCACTCGCATCGAGTTTATTCTCCTTTTGCTCGTCAAGCTCCTGCCCCATAATCGCACTCTTAAACAGCACATTCCATAAAAACACAAGCATCGCAACAATGGTCACCACCATCTTCATCGGCTTCTCATCAAATACGGCATTGCCTTTCTCATGCACTATCCTATCTATCTGCGAGGATATCCCCAGTGCGAGCGCAGCAACATACACAATCCAATCAACTACCAACAGCTTTTCATTCGCAATATATCTCATCACTATCACAGTTATAAACGCCATCCCAAGCATCATCATCGCACTACTTGCATCAAAAGCATATCCTTTCACAAAATTGCTCACCACATATGCTGCTGTTATCATTCCACTTATCATCGACAGAATTACTCTTACAAGCATTGTGCCTATGTTCATTCGATTGTGCATACATCTAATAATGATGCATATCAGCCACACACTCGTTGCAAGCGGTATCAGTGAGCAAGCTGCCTCCACTGCATACTTAACATACACAATCTCATAAACATCCTTCTCCAATGCATTCGGGAACACATACGACACACTCGGCAGTATAATCACCATGCAAGCAGCCATTCCATTCCTTTTACAGCAATAGGCACATTAAAAGGCTGCCGTGTGCTAATAAGCTCCCCTTGCATTTCGCTAGCAACCTTTCAATTTTTTTCTTATCCTCTTCAGATATATCTATGCATGCATGCAATCTGTTCAGACCATAACATGTTTGTTTGATATCACTCAAGCATATTTTCTTGGCCAGATCGCATGCCTTCTTGCTCTTCAAAAACATAGTTTTGGAATCCTTTTTAACATACTCATGGAGCTCATTAAAGTCAATTTGTGTGCCCCATGTATCAGAAACATGCTCTAATCCGCTTTTTAGAGTCTCATTAATCTTTGTACCCCATCTTCACAAATACCATGCAAATTCCTTTCATAACATTCTATCCGTTGATATAATTTACATAGCTTAGCTATTCTGCTCTCATATTCTTGCAGTGACATATTTGCATATTCATCTATTGGCTGATTCTCATAATTATATGCTTCTCTTCTGTCATTTGAACTTTTCTTGATCCTTAGATTGTTATTCATACCCTTATTTGTCCACTTCGTCATGCCAATTTATACTGATTTACAGCCGATGCCAATCCACATTCGCATGCTCTGTATACATGCTAAGCACTCGCACTACAGATCATCCTACCCATCAAGCACACTCATGCATATTTGTTTATTCATCACACCATAGGCAGCTCTTCAGTGCCATGTATCAATCATTCATTCATCTGTGCAGATCAATACAAACTTATGATCTCAAGCAATGGCACACTGTCGATCTCGCTAAGCACATTGCCATTCTTCTCCACTGTCTGCACATTTGCTGTTCAACATTATTCAACGCATCATAATCAATCCAATTTATTCATATCGATCGCACTCCTGAACTCAACTCAAATCAACTCCATTCTGCCTTGCTCGCTTACTCTATTCTACCAGCTCAGACAAAATCAACCAATCTATTTCTTTTTATCACATAAACAGCCAAGCAATTTGCTGCTATGCATCCAAGCACAACCATCCCAACCATCACATGCTCCATCCACCACACATGCTTCACAAACTTATGCATCTTCTCGCGCCCCTCGCTCAGACTCTCAATATAATCCAGTATTCGTCTCCACACTCCATACACCATATCAATCGTGTGCATCCATCTCAGCAGGCTTCCAAGCGCCAGACACCGGATCAAATTTGCTGTATATCCACGGTTATAAAACCCTCTGCTAGCAGTCATCACGAAAACCAATAGGCATGCTACAAGCGCCATGCAGGTCAACGATATCGCTATCCACTGCTTCCATCCTTTCTTGCGATCTGCATATAGCACACTTGAATCAAACCCCAGTGTCAACCCAAATACCATTATTGTAGGTATCATCCACATAGGACTGTGCAGAGCAGAACCATCTATTGTGACAGTCATCAAAAACATCCCAATGATCACCATTGGCCATACAATTGCTTTCAGCTTGTCCATGCTTTCTGCCTCTTCTTCCTCTTCTGTCTTTTCTGTTTTGTTGTGTTCTTCGATGTCGTTTACAATCATCACTGCCATTGTAGGGCTACCAAGCATGTCATTTACTCATGAAGTGAGCGTTCAATCGATTTGCCATTTATAGTTACCTGTATGAATCATGTTGTATGCTTTCGCATTTGCCTTTGAAATTTCGATGTGCAATTGCAATTGCATGTGGTATATGCTCAGTGGTATGCAATTGTCCAGGCTCCAATCGCAACCTTCTGCACTTCATTTTGCCCAGATTGCATTCTGTGCATGATTAAACACAGAATTTGATGCAAACAAACCATGATGAGGGCTAATCACGTCATAGCTGCGTTCCTGCTGTACATGTGTAGCCACACTCAGAGTATTCATCGCAGCCATAGGTACAGCATATACACAAAGTATAGATGCATGAAAGGCATGTATGGATATGCCATGGCATCTCAAGCACAAAGCATACATAATGCACAGCATATACAACACACACACCACAAGTACATCTACAGCAATGATGGTACTAATAGCAGCCATACCGGTAGCATCGGTACTGATGATGTACTACATGCCAACGATGTTCTGCACATCAACTACCGCGAGGTTCTTGGCAGCAACGTGGTTCCACAGCATTACGACCTTAGGATCAAGATAATGGATGCAGGATTCAGTGGTGCTGTTGGGATTGCGATTGACATCAAGAATGCAACACGGTCGATTGTGCTTAATGCAGCCGGCCTGGATGTGTCAGTGGCAAAGATTGTTGCTGGCGGAAGGCATCATACAGGAGTTGTGCATTCGGGTATGCAGCTGGATGTGCGCGATCAGATAAGGATTGAGTTTGCAGAGCATGTGAAGGGGCCAGCATATATTCTACTGCAGTTCAGCGGTGCATATGCAACAGGGCTGCGTGGGCTGTACTGTAGTAATGCATGCACCAGCAATGGCAATGGCAATGACAATCTCAATGGCAGAAGTGACAGCATTGGAAATGACAGAAGTGATGGCACTGATGATGTAGGCATTCAGCCAGATAAGCAATACATGCACGATGCAGACATAGGCACAGACATACCGCACTGTTCGCGTGTGTATTGCACACACTTTGAGCCAAGCGATGCACGACGGATGTTCCCATGCTTTGATCAGCCAGACCTCAAGGCCACATTCAGCATCAGCGTTGATGTGCCAAAGACACTGACTGTGCTTTCAAACACAGATACAGTGCCTGAATGGCGTGAGGATTACGGCAACCGCAAGATCGAGTACTTTGAGCGCACATGTCGCATGGCAACGTACGTTGTTGCAATAGTTGCTGGCAGCCTTGATTATGTGCAAGGCGTCAGCAGCAGCGGCATCCGAGTGCGGGTGTATGGCATAGCTGGAGTCTCGGACAAGCGGAGCAGGATGTATGCGCTTGGTGTTGCACTGAGGAGTGTAGAGTACTTTGGAGAGTACTTTGGGATGCGCTATGTGAGCTGTGGCTCGAGTGCAAAGATAGACATGGTTGGTGTTCCTGAGTTTGGAGCGGGTGCGATGGAGAACTGGGGGCTTGTGGTGTACCGTACGGAGAATCTGGAGGTGATGGCTGTGCCAGCAAGTGCCATATACAATGGCGGAGAGAATGACCGGGAAGTTGTTGACGAGGATAAGAGCATGAATGCTGTTGATGGCGGAGAGATTATGAATCACAACGATGTGAAGAACAGTATCAGGGATGGGCATGATAAGAATATCAGTAGTGAGAACGGGAATGGCAGCAGGGATTCAAATGGAGTATTTTATGGTTCGAGCGAAGCAGACGAAGACAACATGCAGCAGATTCGCGAGACAGTCAGTCATGAGATTGCACATATGTGGTTTGGCAACCTTGTGACGCTACGATGGTGGGATGAGCTGTGGGTCAACGAGGGGTTTGCAACATGGGCATCGCTCAAGTATCTGCAGGAGGCATGGGGAGCGGACGAGGAGCTGAGGTTTGTCAAAGACCGACTTGCAAGCAGCATGCGTGACGAGGGCGATGGACGAGCAGTACGTGACAGGGTAGTTAGTGGAGCATCGGCAGCAGGGCGGTTTGATTCAGTGAGGTATGGCAAGTCTGCAAGTGTGATACGGATGGTTGAGCAGTATGTCGGGCCTGATGTGATGCGTGAGGGCATACGGGAGTATCTGGAGAGGCACAAGTATGGCAACGTGAGTGGTAGTGATGTGTGGAAGGCAGTTAGTGAGTGCTGGAGGCGTATGAAAGGAGAGGACAGCAGTGCAGACATAAATGACAGCGGCACGAGTAGTGGATCTGGAGCAGAGATATCTCAGATGGTGCGTGAGTGGATGGAGCAGGAGGGATATCCGGTGGTGCATGTGCATGAGGAAGATGGCGAGATAGTGCTGGCACAGAGTAGGTATTGTAGTGCACGGATGGGAGTGGGGGCAAGCCGTGTGCATGGTGATACTAATAGTAATAGTAATAGTAATGAAGAAGAAACAGTGAATGAAGTAGGGAATAGTAGAAACGATAACGGAATGAATGGAAATGGCATGGATAGGAATGGCGATGATGCAGGATGTGATGCAGCAAAGCATCTGTGGAGAATTCCAGTTAGTATTATGTGGGACAATGGCAGCATGCACACGGTGCTGCTTTCAACACCTGAGATGCGAGTGGCACGTAGAACACAACGGTACAAGCTGAATGCAGGATATGCAGGCTACTTCCGAGTGCATTATGGATTGAATGGAGGGGTACTACATGCGTTGATGGTTGCTGGCGATTCTGAAGTAGATCAGGCGAATGTGATTGAGGATGTTTTTGAGCTGGCGTATGCTGGATACATGAGTGTGGGAGCAGTGATGCGAGAAGTGTTGTCGTGGGGCACTGCGGGGCCGTGGAGATGGAGTGTGCAACAAATGCAGTGTGGAATGGAAACGCCAGAGCATAGCAGTGATGGTAATGACAACAGCAATAATGATGGCCTGAGTGTATTTGCACGGCATGGGATAGAGATGCTGAATGGTGTAAAGACGATGGATAGTACAGATGGAGTGAATGATATAGATGGTGCAAGCGATGGAATGCCGGTGGATAAGACAGATGGAAAGACATATGAAATAGCGCATGTGCCGGATAATGTGGTTAAGGGTGTTGTAGGCAAGCTGCTTGTTGTATGGGGAGAGTTGTATGAGGATGTGGAGGTGCGCCAAGTGCTTGAACGAGCAATCTGGGGAGTGATTGGAAGGATTGTGAAAGATGCAGAGATCTGTGTGGATGCTGTGGAGAGTGGAAATGAAACTAATGGAAGTAGCAGGAAGAGTGATTGGAATACAAAGAGTCGGAAGGGGCGAGTGAATGGCCATGATGGCGACTGCAAGAATAGAGCAGGCATTGAGATGCAGAAGTATGCTCTGGAGGTGGGGGTGATGATGGGAAGGAAGGAGGCTGTAGAGAAGGCACGGAGTGCATATGAGCGCGGAATGAGCAGAATGCACATGCCTGCAATGGTTGGTGCGCTTGCAGATGAGCAGATTAAGGAGATGATGCAGAAGTATGCAGGAGCAGGTAAGGAGTGGCGGAAATGGGTGGTAGAAGGAATGAGTGGATTGATGCAAGAGGAGAGTGTCAAGTATGTTCTTGATGAGGTGTGCCGGATGTCTAGGTTGTGCTTGTATATGGATAGCAAGTGTGAAGATAGTATCGGTGGATGTGTTAATGGCTTGAAGGGTGGCAAATGGGCGGATATGAATAGTTCTGAGATGAAAAATGCAGAAGTGAGCAAAGAGCAAGATAATGTGAGTGTGCTGAGTATTATTGCAGGAGATGGAGTGATAAACGATGTGGATGCTACAGGAAATGTAATGAATAGTATAGTGGGAGAAGTACTGCATGATGGAGGCATTGGAATAGCAGATGTTGTTGACATACTCCGAGGAATCTGGCGAGGAGGCAAGTTCCGAGAAACAATTGCAGAGTATGTGCTGCGGATGTGGGGAGCGATACAGAAGGCAGCAGGGATGAACGGAATGATACTGCGCGATGCTGCAGAGATGGTTGGTGGGATACGTGATGTGTCTGTGGGAGTGAAATATGGGGACGAGCAGAAGGGTAAGGATTGGGAGCTTGCAGGCACAAAGGTAATTGAGGAGATTAGGTTCCGCGAGAGGTTGCGTGAGAGACGAGATGAGATATTGAGCGAGCTGATGGCGCTGTTTGATACAGATGGATGGAGAGTGCTGGAATCAAAAATGCATGATTAGCATTGTGCCAGTATTTATGCATAAAGCTAAAGCTGTTGATAGACGTGCTATATTGAGTATGTGGCGGTTGGATAGTAGCACACATTAATATTGTGAAATACAATACATATTCTCGCATAAGTTAGGAATTCAAATACTCGGTTTTATTCATCTTGCCATTATCATTTCATAAATGCGATTGATTGATGCTATTTTATTAAGTTGCCTTAGTGTTGCATTTCGTTGTATCATCATTTGTTTCGATGTGGCTGTTATTCCACCAAGCATGAAGCAATATGAGCAGTATAAGGAATTGTATGAATCCAGTTTTAAGCATGTTAGGATAGCTAGTATTATTAAAAAAAGTCATCAAGTTGCTTATTACTATATCATTAGTAACATTATTTGCTGTATTTTCTTTATTCCAATCTTTTTCATTTCCATTATGCCTAGCAATCGATGTAATTATGTCGCAAACACACTTTTCCATGCCTCTTTGTGGATCTGCTTCCTTGCCCTGGCTTATTGCTATACTGTTGAGGTTATTTATGAGCTCAATATCAAATTTAACAGAAGTTGTTACTATTTTGTTTATAAAAAAAATCAGACTTGATCTTTCCGAATCTATTTTATGAAGGAAACTGCTTAAAATCTTTCTTATCTTTTCCTTATCTTTTTCTTCAAGCGTATTCGTTTTTGTGCCAAATACCGTTTCAAGCATAATTTCTATGACTTCTATATTATTCAATATATTTTCGCCTGCTTCGCCTGCTTCTCCTCTATCACGTACTGATATTTGATCTGATATGCTATTAAACAGTACTTTTACATAATAGTTTGCACCTGGTATGGCTTTGCTTGCCATTAGCTCTATATATTTGCTATTATCATGGCTAATAAGCTCATAATCACTGTGTATCTCGCACATAGCCCACAGTGTCATCATGATCATTTGTATGCTTCCCAGTGGTGAGTCTTCGCTTCTATTTTGTGTGCCATTTCCTTCTTGGCTCTTGTGGCTACTCACTTCCAGCATATCATCCAATATCAATGCTATAATAGGCTTATCATTGCCCGTTGATAATCCTTTAGCAATGAACAGGTGCAATACCTTAACCATGGGCATATCTATGCTGTGCTTCAACAGACGCCCACTTATTTCGTTAATCAGTATGTTTGCTATTTCTTCATCGCTCAATGTCTGATCTAATTTAGTTTTTTTGATTGCATCCAATACATCCTTAATAGGCGGATTATTAGTTATATTGGATAGAATATTATTCATTCTGTGTTCCATATGAATAAAGAAAGTCGCTGCTGTATTATTATTGCTATTTGAATACCATTCAATATGTGCCCTGCTGTCATTTTTTTGGAAGAGAATAATATTCGTATACAGTTCAATAATTTCAATCCTTTCATCGATCACTCTAAGCATTTTTTCCATTTGTGTCTGGTCTTCCGTCACAGATTTCAAAGCAGTCTTAAATGTATCATTCGTGATGCAATACTTCAACGGAACCATATTGCCTTGCACCATAACTTGTATCTCCGCTTTTGTCATATGAATTGTCAAAAATGTAAAAAGATTCAAAGACGGTGGCATACTCTTTCTCCTTATAGAAGGAGAAGATGAAGGTAGCGGTTCTAAATTTGAATAATAGCATGAGAGCTCGCCAATAATCTTATTAATCGCAGTGATGAGCATATTATTTTTTTTTGCCTGCTGATTGTTTAGTTTTTCAATTATATCTTTTATTTTTTCCCTAATTCCCAATGCTTTGTGTGATAATCCGGCTCTATTTATTTTTTTGTTTTGGCCAGAAAAGATATTCTTAAAACTCCACCACGCAGTAGTAGATGTTGGATTGGATTTATTCTGAAGATCTATTATACGCATAAGCCTGGCAATCCGTATATAATCCAATATAAACTTCATCAATATTGTGTCATTAATAATGATGGTTCTTGCTATAGTATCCTTCTCAGTATTATCCATGATGGGTTAGTCCGTTATCGTTATCAACTAATCTATCCATTTTTACAGCGCCAATATATATGCCATGCTCAAGCATCATGCATACCATGCCTGACTGCCAATGTAGCATTTGCAGAGTGTAACCCATGCACATGCATAGCAACACATCCAGTGAGTCCGTCAATAGGCTTCTCAGTGTG